CTGAAATCCTTTTTGCTAAAAATGACTTGCAAAAATAAGAGTGTATCTACATTTAGGTATAGATACTATATCAAAATATTTGTGGCTGTAACATTATGAAGAACAGGTGGTAACGCCAACAAAATACTCTATTTAAGGAAAGAATACGAGGCAAGCTCATGAATGGAAAATGACTATGATTTGCCTTATAATATTTAAATTGTATGTGGTTATATAGATTCATGGTTAAAAGTACAAGATAAAAAGGCTAGACTTTGTTATACCTTGTTTTGCAAACTTAGTTTTCTAACGATCATCAGGGGAGAGTGAAAAAAAAAAAAGTTTTGTTATATTATTTAGAAAATATTTTTTCCATAAACATCAGGATGAAAGAGAAAATAAAATTTTATTGGTGAATGTAAACAGAAAAAATAATGGGACGGTTAAATGCTTTAAATTTATGTAATTAGGAAGAAATAAACAAATCTTTTTTTTTTTAGATTTCAAGGCAGCGTCCAGCACAATAAAAATAAAGAAAACTTCTATTTTTTTTCTAAAATTTCTAGTTTTTTCAAGGTGACGCATGCGCTAATTGGCCAAAAATAAAATTTTATTTTTATTTGAAATCTTCATTATTGGCAGGCAGTGGGTTCGCTAAACAAAGTATAAAGAGGTCTCGTCTAACGAGGTTTATACAATAATTGGAGTACAAACCTATTATGCATCCACCTTCATATGATAGAGGGCGCAATAACTCAAACATACTGTTGTGTATTAAAAGAGGTAATTAAGGCAACTCACAAAAGTAAAGCTGTTTCTCTTACCTTATACAAGGCCAAACATTGTAGCCATCAAGGGGCTTGGTGCCTTTAGTATCCCCCTTGGCCAAGCCCTCAACAATAGTTGGGAACCAGTCGCTGACATGTATAAGCTGGTGGTTAACTGTACCCAGTACTTGCTTTGGAAGGAGAGGACTGTGAACAAAACCAACAGCACGGACACCCCCTTCCCATAGAGTATCTTTCCAACCACGCAAAGGCCAATTATTTCCACCTGCTTTTACTTGTCCTCCATTGTCTGCAATATAAATTAGTATCAAAAGTGAAATTATTTATTTTGTTCATATCTGTAGAAACTCAAAAACAATGGTATTTTCAAGGGTTATAATGTTGTCACCGTGTATATGTATCTACATCAAAAAAGGCAAATATCTTTGTATATTATGTTCTAACATTCAGTATCAATATAGGTACAGGGGAAAATACATATTGTTCTATTTTTACTAATAATATATAACATGATTATTAAATGTTGTCATCATAAATACCATCGTTATTATATTACTATTTGGTAGTAGTACTGGTAGAATTATACAGGTAAACTTGGCTAAGTCGACTTTGCCTAAGTTGAATATTTTCTAAATCGATCTTATTTTACATGCCAATTTGTTGTGTTTTCCATTAATTAATGATCTGTGAGTCACATTCTATCTAAGTCAAACAGTTTTTCAATGCCATTTTGGATTCGACTTAAGCAAGTTCAACTGTATTTTATTATTAGTAGTAGTATTAGTAAAGTCCAGTATTATGGGGAAAGTTATATTATTTACTGGTAATTTTGATTTACATATTAATCTATTTTAATCACATTACAAGATATATGCAAACATACAAAAAAAATATATGCAAACAAAAAAAAAAAAAAAAAAAAAAACATTTTTTCATTAAATATCAAATTGTAAGCCTTCAGGAATATTTTAAGAGCCATAAAATTATGTCACCCAGGCCTCCAAAACCTAACATCAACCTAATAAAGGCACCTCCATTTAAATAAAAGAAAAAAGACAAATTTTGTTTTGAACACTCCTAATATGTTACATAATGTGTTACCTGTAGAAAATATTATAACACTATTGTCATATAATCCAGTTGATTGAAGAGTGGAAGTTATGTTTCCAATGGCTTCGTCCATACATGCAACCATTCCAGCGTATATCTGTCGTGATTCATCGTCTGGGAAAACTGTTTTGTACGGCTCTATGTAACTGGCTGGGGCTTCAAGGGGAGCGTGCACTGCTTGAAAAGGAATGTATAGGAACAAAGGCTGAAAACAAATATAAAAAGGTTGGTCATAATATTAAAAGAAGCAATTGTAATCTAATGTAATAAAATATGACACATGATGGCAACAATATATTTATAAATTGACAGAGTTGGAATATATAACACCATCATGGGACAGTACTTGGTTATTTGTTTTGGCTTTTACAGGCATAAATGGCAAAATGTATAAACGAGTTTCATATTTGGTGTTTCCAAGACAGCATAACAATGTAATCCTAAACAAAGGCAATACAATAGTAAAATAAATCATCTCTTCAAGAGTAAATTCTTAAAATGATTAAAAGTGCTCTCTCTCTTTCTCATAGTGAAGCTACCCCTTCCAACTTTATATATGTGTAAAATAGAATTAATTCTGTAGGTTTATATACAAATTTTATATAAATTATGATTTATTCTCTCCTTTGTTACAAGTTACATGTTACTTCTAAAATTTATTTTTATCACTACCTTTTTTAAAGCACTTTTTTTTCTTTCTTTCTTTCTTTTTTTTTTTTATAGAATCATATAGCGCTTTTCACAATCCGCAGATTTTACAAGCGATTATACATGGCGTTGTCATCATTATTTCCCTGGTCTCTGAGTTGGCAGACTTGCACCTTGTGCAATTTTCTCTGCTCCCTGGGGAGTATCCCTGGTCACTGTTGCTTGAACGTGGACAACCCATACATTCAATGCCATACCATTCTACCAGGTACCCATTTATACTCCTGGGTGGAGAGAGGCAAACTTAAGTAGAGTGCCTTGCCCAAGGACTCAAGCAATGCGACGAGCGTCTGTCTCAAACTCCCGATCTCACAATCAGTGAGATCGGGTCCAACACCTTACACACTGTGCCATACGCTCCTACACGCTGTATGTCAAGTCCCACTACATTACATTATGCATGCATGTTTACTGTATAGGTGTAATTTTGCCATACCTGATGTAGAAATGTACTGAATACTCAGTACGTGTGAAAATATGTTTTGCTTTTTCGCAATTGCTTTCACACGTACTGAGTATTCTGTACATTTCCACGTCAGGTAGGGCAAAAATTACACTCATTCTTAATTCTCCTAACGCAAATCCAGTTATCTATACCATCACGACAATAACAATTATCAAAAAAAAAAATTCATGAGAATAAAAGGTACTTTTTATAATTTGACTTTTATCTTTCTCAGAGAGCCTTGATTTGGTTTCCTGCACTGTTGGCAATTACTGTTATTGTTACGTGGTCTGAAAGAAGTCCAGCTTATGACCGTTTTGTAAATCATCAATGCATCCTAATAATAAATGCCATGTCCAAACTACTAATTCAGACAACATTAGAAAATATGTTGGCTTCATTTCTAGGATCTGTACAGTAAACACATACAATCTAGGGTTTGACAGGTATACATTACTGATCGCAGGCATTGAATTGTTTTTTGATGGAGTGCCTGTGGGCAGCCTGCGATGCCGGTGGACTAGATTGTCTTTGATTTTTTATTGGTATGCTGTAATGCACAAAGTGTAGGCAAAAAGTACACTGCACGGGATCGGTACTGTATCGAAGATTGCGGCAATTATAGAAATATTTGCAAAACAAACAGTACCTGGCTTTTGTTATGACCAAGAACAACTTTCTTTGCATGCTCTGCAAACACAATGCTTGAATAGGTATTGTTGTAGTTTGTCGCTACCTTGTCATTATCCCGGAAATCCAAACCGTCCTCCCTGATGTGGGTTAGATAATCTTCTGATCCAGTATAATACCCTATTATCAACAAAAACAATTTATTATATATAAATGCTAATGATTAGAACACAACTTGTCAAAAAAAACAATTTTTGAAACTTCAATTACAGTTTACTGTACAAGTCTTTGGTGCATTCTTGAAAAGTATTGTAACCAAGGAGCAGGGGGTGGTCACTCCCCATCTTCCACCCTTCACTATCTCTCTGTTATAACATTTGGTAATCATAAAATTTATGATATAATATACATAATATAATAATTTTTAATTAATATATTTATTATTCAAAATTTACAGTTATAGTACAGTAAAATACTCACCAAAAAATGTATCAAACCCCCGTTTAATTGGGACAAATTCTTCTTTATAGAATCCTAGGTGCCATTTTCCAACCATGTGGGTCGCGTAACCGTATTCTTTAAGTTTTTGAGGCAATGTGACTTCATCAAGAGGTAGAGCGTTTGGTGTCCATGGTCTTATTACACCATGTTGTAATCCTGTATGAATCTAGATTATAAAAAATTTAATTTTCAATTTTGTCAAGAGTAGTATTTGAGAACTCAAGTCTAGAGATATCTATCATTTTGACAATGATATTGTTGATAAAAATAATGTGGGAAATAACAGGTCAAAACACTTTAAAATCCAGTTAATAGAACAGTAATTAAGGTATATTTGAAGCCGGTCAATAAATTAATATAAAATTATTTGTTATTAAAATAAACATTGTGGCTGAGAGATGTTGGTAGAATACCACCTGCATAATACACCTATGCAGAGGTTCTGCATTTCCAGTTAAAATATGTGGGTACAGTAGCTTATTGTTAAATTTATCCTCCATATATCTCTATAAAGTTTAAAATAATTGTAAACAGTAAATGCATTTCCAAGTTGCAATATCTTCTAAACTGTCCATACTTTGTATATACTTTATGTATTTCATGTTGTTTATTTTATTTATTTACTCAACTTCATGCAGTCACAGGCAAATATACAATATTGTTCTAAAGTTATAGATTGTTGTGTGTTTCAGACTTATTTATGGACCAATTTTTAAAATGTGGACCCATTCTTTGTGGACCCAATAGAAAAATTGTGTGGGACTGTCCCAAATGTCCCAGTAGCTGGTTATTGCCAAATACAAGTTGTTTCTCTTACCTTATACCTGTCTCTTATACACATCTAAACCACACACAGTTGAAGTATTATCGTTGGGAACATTGTATACATAGTATCGTGCTCTTTACCATGTCATTAATGCCTAATTTATATACACATATATTCAGGGTTTAAACCAAATGTTATACAGTAGTAAACAACCCAACAAAACCATTTATTTGAAAGAGTATAACTTGTACTTATTATACATTAAAATTGTACAAATTGTATTTATTATGTTTATTTTCAGAAGAGTTATACATTGTGTAAACGATGACAAACGAAATGCGAAAATAAAGAAATAGTCAACAAAAGTTAGCGATTTGGAGAGGGAGGATTGGAAGACTCAAGCTGCTATACTAGGTCAATTTTAAAAAATTATTAACCGCGAAATGCCTGTGTAAACGTATTGTAGATTATATTTAAATGTTTGGTTAGAAAGATGAATTTTTAAAAAAAGAGATAAGTAATTGGTCTTGCCAGTTTCTATGAGTCTCCAACTCATTTTCACGAAACTTCTTTATAATGATTCCTACCGCCATGGACCCCAAACTCCTCCATGAAATCTTGGGTCTGACTTAGGGTCTGGCAATGGATAAACACAGGGCACAGCAGTTTTGTTATAATTCGCCAATTTCTCAAGCATGCTATCAACGACTTCAGGATATTTGCCTGACAGGTCATTGTATTCGTTCGGGTCAGCAGTTATGTTGAATAAGAACACCACTTGATCTTTGACCACATTTGGATAAAATGGAACTATACCAGAACTTGGTGGTGCTATCCAGTTAACCGATCCTATCAGATACAAAAAAGAATAAACAAAACAATATTAACGTATATTTATGCTTCAGAAAAATACAAATACATCCTAAAATGGTGTGAGTAGGCTTACTTTCACAATGCAACAATAAATAACTGTACTAACTATATTAATAATGATAATCATAGATCCAAACAATTTTTGTGCTCAAGTCCAACCGACCCAAAACCTGAAAATTACTATACAATGGGCTCTAAAATCGGCTTTTTGTTACAAAGAAGCCAAAGAACGTTGAAGATCGATCCATAACTCAGCGTCACTGTGCAGAATTGCGTATAGGCGTGGTCCATGACTACTAGCAACCGGAGAGGCGCTGCATCATTCCACAACGACCTGGACTAAAATGAACCATAGAACCAGGACAACCCCTACTAAAATAAACCATAGTATCGAGGTAACCTAAAAGATGGAATGGGTTTTAATTAAGTGCACGATCCAGATGTGTTCATGTCCTTATCCAAGAAGGCTGCTCACCTTGCAGTAAAATAAAGACGCTGAGAGATGTGTTGAGCTATGGATGAACGAAGTTTAGCTGTCTGTGAAGTGGACACGATAAGTACCGTATGTAAGCGGCGTCCCTGCCTTACCTGACTAAGCTCTCGGCCACTCGACTCGGCCAAAAATTCTTGTACGATTTTTTGAGGCTTTAATTAATAATATACATTGACCCTACCACTTAGACCTGTTAATATTACGACTACTAACGGGTAACACTATAAATAGTAATAATAATAAATAATTAGAGCCAGTGCAAAAATAAAACCGGCTAACGAACTTCTTTCCAACATTTACAATTTCTGTACACTAGGCCTACCATAAACTCCGGTGAGAATCTTCCAGTCTCCTGACCTAAGGGCAGCTCGAACTCGAACATCAAATGTGCTGTTTTTCCATCGCTTTCCTTGGTGAATCACCGTTAGAGGATCAATGTTGTGTAGGATTTCGTTACGTGGAGAAGCTTTGTTTTCACTAAAAATAAATACACTATATTACCATATTTATATCATGAAAGTACTTACAGTTAAATAGTAGTAATATTTTTATCAAAACAATTACGGCATACTGTTTAATGCCCATTGGTTAGAAGTTGCAGAATTATTGCCTATCATGAGACAAATTTGTCTCAGCCTATACGAACTCACAGCATCCAGCTTCATAGAGGGCGTACTAACATCAAATATAGTGTTGTATTCATCGAAGAAGTGAATTCCGTCAATTTAATCTAAATACTAATACCGTAGCCAGGATTTTTAAACTGTGCAGGAAAACATCAGGGTGGACCCACTTTACGCGTAAATTAAAAAAATGCGGACCCATTTTCTTCAAATGAGAGAGCTGGACCCACTTTCTTAAAAGTTGACCCATTTTATATAGGGCCTATCAGATATGCTAATTCATTATAACCCTCGTCCAAATCTACGGTCATCAAAGCTTTTATTAAATATTCCAAGAACTTATTCTTCTTACGATGACCAAAGTTTCATTTCATCTGCACCAAACCTATAGAACAATCTGCCTCTTAACATTCGGTCAGCTGAAAAACTGCATAAATTTAAAACCGAACAAAAAACACATCTTTTTTATTGTGCCTTTCAATAGTAAAATTTTGGAGTATAGAGCATTAAAGCGCTTCTGAAAAGGGAGCTAGATTTTGGCGCTATACAAATACCGCATTGGATTGGATTTTACAAAAATATATGAGAAATATGGACCAATTTTTAAAATGTGGACCCATTCTTTGTGGACCCAATAGAAAAATTGTGTGGGACTGTCCCAAATGTCCCAGTAGCTGGTTATTGCCAAATACAAGTTGTTTCTCTTACCTTATACAAGGCCAAACATTGTAGCCATCAAGGGGCTTGGTGCCTTTAGTATCCCCCTTAGCCAAGCCCTCAACAATGGTTGGGAACCAGTCACTGACATGTATAAGCTGGTGGTTAACTGTACCCAGTACTTGCTTTGGAAGGAGAGGACTGTGAACAAAACCAACAGCACGGACACCCCCTTCCCATAGAGTATTTTTCCAACCACGCAGAGGCCAATTGTTACCACCTTGCTGTATTATTCCTCCATTGTCTGCAATGAAAATAAGCATCAAACGTGTCACTTAGTTATCATGTTCATACCTTGTAAAACAGTGATGGTCATTGTTTTACAAGTGTCGTAAAATTAAGGTTCGTTGCAGTGTTATGTATCGTTAGAAAAAAAATTTAATTAATAATTGAATATATAACTGCCAGCGCACATGTCATTTTGTAAGTATTTTTTATTAGGCCTACAAATGACTTTTATGCAATAAAAACATTTAAAAAAAACATTACTGCAATTGATAAAAGAAAAACCTTTAGAAAACTCCCTGGGATAACATTCTTAAAATAATGACAAGAGAGGGGACAGAGCCCAAACAGATTACGAAGAAAAGAAAGAGAAGGCAAAACAGAAAGTCATTATATTTACTAAAAATTTCTACAATGAACAAATCTAACCAGTAGAAAATATTATAACACTATTGTCATATAATCCAGTTGATTTTAGTGTAGCAGTTATGTTTCCAATGGCTTCATCCATACATGCAGCCATTCCAGCATATATCTGACGTGATTTGTTGGCGGGGAAAATGGTTTTGTACGGCTCTATGTAGCTGGCTGGGGCTTCAAGGGGAGCGTGTACTGCTTGAAACGGAATGTATAGGAACAAAGGCTGCATAATGAAGAAAAGTTTAGTTATTATTAAAAACAAGTTGTAATTTATAATGTCTAATACGCATGATATACTAAAATTCGAATATAGACAGTTATAAACTTTGACGTCACGAAAACATTGCATGTTAGGAACCAAACCCCTATTCTTTATAGGCATACATAGATCGGTTTCAAAATTAGCAGGGAAGACTCTATAACATTATATAAATTTGAACGATTCATTAAATTATGGCTCCTAAGCCCGTTGATTGGATTAGGATTACCGGTGTATAACCGGCACTGACTGAAAGGATTTAGAAAGGTACCACAGCTGGGCATAAAATACTGTTAGTCACTTCGATGCATTTTCTGTACGAAATATTTAATATAAAATACAATTGTTTGACTATCGATTGAGGATCGACAAACTAGCTAGGCCGTGTAACGCGACTACAGTGTGCTCACTGTTCTTCTATGTAAAAACCCCACGCTTTCTAACTCCCTCCATTTCAAATCTAATAGGCCAATTTGTGGGATAAGTTTAGAAATATTTACCAATGTTTTTTAATATTTTAACTTGCATTTTAATTTATAAATAATAAGTCTTGAAACATCCAAAATTTGGTTAGGTTTATTATTGTGTGGAAAGTTATTGAATAACACAGTAAATACTTATATACAGTAAAAACCTCTGGCAAAGATATCAGATTGTGGCATAAATTTAATGTAGGTAAACATACCAAAAAATACAAGACAACCAACAGTACCTGGCTTTTGTTATGACCAAGAATAACTTTCTTTGCATGCTCTGCAAACACAAAACTGGAATATGTGTTGTTATAGTTTGTCGCTAAGTTGTCGTTATCACGGAAATCAAAACCGCCCGCCCTGATGTGGGTTAAATAATCTTCTTGTCCATTATAATATCCTAAATGGTATAAAAAAAAATGTAATAGTCATTTTATAGATATCTTAGGTAAAATATGGTATAAAGAGAACACCAAAGTTGTCAAAAAGACAAACCAACATTAGAAAAAAGAACATAAACTCGGTTAAGAGAAGGGGTAATATTCATATAACATGAATGTGGGGAGCGTTCTTAAAAATGTATGGTAAGGAAAATGGAGGGGAGGTGGGTATTCTCCCCTCTATAGCTTTGTCAGTCTTTTGTGTTGTTCTTATAAATACATTAGAACCTTTCCTTTAGGACAACCTTATTTAAGGAACAACCCTATTAAGGGGACAGTTTTCCATAAAACGAGTGGAAATATATCTTTAAAACTACGTCAACCCCTATTAAGGGACACCCCTATTAAGATGACGGGGACACTTTTTAAGCGTGCAAAATGGTCAAATCAATACATTTTAACCCCTATTATAAGGGGACATTTATTTGTTTTATATTGTATCCAAACAAATAGGTGTACAGTGGTCTAAAAACAGGGAAAAAAAAATCAAATTTAAATTTGACAACTTTTGAGCAATAGACTTAACATCAAATAAGAATTTTTTGCTCTCAATCTTTAGAATTGACACAATATTTAGAATGGAAAAGGTACCCTCCCTGGGCCCTTCTATTTCGAATTCCTGGGTCCGCCACTGGACATTACAACAAATATGAAAATCATATTACAGTAGCTTGATGCCTATAAAATAACTTATAAAATTCACCAAACTTCGTAAAATATCTGTAGCTTCCAGGAGGCTTCTCCCCCTGGACCCCCACCGGGGGGCCTTGGCGGCCCCCAGCCTAGATGCTCTTTTCGCTCGCATACTCGACCTTATTAAGTGCCCCCCCCCCCACTTTCAAAAAGGTTTCGCCGCCGTTGTTCATGTGTTAATTTGTGTATATAAAATGTTGTCAATTTTGACCATTACCCATGGGATTTCTTGTTATGTGTATTTTCATATAGGATTCTAATACAGCCTATGGTATACCATACAGCCTGCACACTGATGTCTAAGTCATCTTGTGCCTCCAATAGAAAGCTGAATATTTAAATAAAGAATATTTGGTCAATAACATTGCACTCGAATCAAGAAACAATATGGGGCCATATATACAGAATTTGTAGTTTTGAATATATATATGTTTATTTCATATAATACAGTAAATGAATTATTTTTTGCATTGCAAATTATTATTTCACGTTTTTGGTTATTGTCCCCCTATTAAGGGTGAAGGCCTACTAAATACTTAAATTTCAATAATTTATATAATACAAATTGTATAAATTGTCCTGTATACAGTTATAGTAAAATACATACCAAAAAAAGAATCAAAACCCCGTTTATGTGGAACGCATTCTTCCTTATAGAATCCTAGATGCCATTTTCCAACCATGTGTGTCGCATAACCATATTCCTTCAGCTTTTGAGGAAGTGTCGTCTCATCAAGTGGTAGTGAGTTTGGAACCCATGGGTGTATTACACTATGTTGCAAGCCTGTATGAATCTTGATTAAAACATGTCAATTTTCATTTAAAATTATTGTTATTGCTGTATAATGATGGTATAAAAATTCTTACAACAAAGTTTTTTTTAAATTTTTTTATAGCCCATTGTTGTCTACCATGATGATTAAAATGGATCTTGGAGAAACACATTGCTCAATTCGATTATTCGGAGATTCCATTTTGAAGATTCACATTGATCTTTGTTTAACGTGCGTGCGCCGAATAGGCTCCATAATGTTACATGGTACTCTTCTATGCAATGCCACTCAAGCAATAATTCGATAACAAGTGAACCATTGATGATGAAAAAAGTAAATCGTCGATGATGAAACAAGTGAATTTTCGATGATGGAATAAGTAAATCATTGATGATGAAACAAGTGAATCGATGATGAAACAAGCGAATCGTCGATGATGAACAATTGAATCGTCGATGATGAAACAAGTGAATCGTCGATGATAAAACAAGTGAATCGTCGATGAATCGCTGATTCTAATAGATGCACAGGTTCTACAAGAGTTGCATTTTCTGCGCAAGCAACAAGATCTGACCATGATCAGACCCTGACTCGCACAACCACACGCGCAAAGACTATTTGAAAGTAATTGACTACAAAGTAAGCGAAAAAAGAATTCTAAAATATTTGAAAACTTGCATTAGTTTGCACAGACGCCTAACGTGTCTTCCAAAAGATAATGTACCACACAGTTTCGTTGCATACATTTTATAATACAGTTTACTCTCCAATTCGAGACCTCTGGCAGTGGTCGCCAGGATTTGCCAGACGTTGGAGCCGAGGTTCCCGACGGGGAGAGGGGCCGACGTCCCCGACGGGGAGAGGGGCGACGTCCCCGACGAAAAACAGTGGGCGTGATCGGGCGTCGCTAAAATTCTCTCGAAAGGTTATTGGTTTCAAAGGCTTATTTAATCAATTTTGGAGTCATTCTGATATGCAGGAAACACATATACATTTTTTTTCTTATACCGACGATTTGTGGTTTTTCTCGGGAGGCGTTTATTTTATTTATTTTTTTTTAAATATTGATACGAATACTCCAATAAACGCCCCTTATTTTACTGTAAATGTGAAACTAGAACAGATATTTACCGTCTTAACATGTGTTATTGAGTGACAATAACGACTTATTGATCCAACCAGGGAAGAACCTGGTGTAGAACATTATTAGAGTTTGTTGACAATGTGCTTTAATTAAATTTGTTCACAGTCATTTAGGGGTGTTTATGCGAGGGAAGTGTTTATTCAAAGCGGGACGTTTATTCGAATAAATACAATATGTCACAATATATCGTTAATCAACAGACATTCACAAAGAGGCTATTATGTGTGCGCTGATTCTCCTATTAATAACATTTTAGCTACAACAATTACTTTTTAACTACCGTACCTGGGCGTTTATTGTTGAGAAGGGTTTTTGAAGGGGCGTTTATTCAAGGCATTCCCCACATCATCCCCCTTTGACTCCTAGATATACGCTACTTACTTTAAACAATACACTTTTTTTCACCAAGGTTGAAAAAATGGCTCCTCAGCAGGAAAATAGTAAAGGGTTTAAATTTTTAAATTTTGATTGCAAGTAGGCCTAATCAGGGCCGGCTTGACTATTATACCTTTGCCAAAAACAATAGTTAGGCCTGTTATCGATCCTAAATATTAAAAATTAAGGATTGTCAAAAAAGTTGAAATGACACGGCAATACAAAAAGCGCATGGTGGATTAAGATTAAATACATACACACATACAT